CAGGGGAGGGGGCGCGACGTCCGAGCCCTCGGTGGACCCCCCCTTTCCCCCGACCTTACCAGCCACCAGCTTCGCGATGCCAGGGAGGGCCACGTCATGGTCGGTGTGGATGAAGGGGCGGCAGGAGCCGTCCTAGAAGGGGAGAGGAAGGGGGATTAAGGGAACTGTAGTCCAAAGGAAGCCAGGTTTCCCCATAATGTGTCTCTCCTTCCTGTCTATCAGGTCCTGGCAGAGGTTTTCCCGTCTCCCTTCCACTTGCAGACACGCGGAACCGACCGGCGAATAGGGGCCCTGAGTCGCCCGCTTGTGGGTTCACCCACCTCTGCGTTGGGGGGCGGATCTGGGAGGAAGGCCACTCGGAGGTTGGTGCAGTAGAGGGTCCCCGGAAGGAAGCCTTCGCCGTCTGGAGAAGGCACGCTCTTCTTGACATGCGCCGCCTCTTCTTGGACGTATTCCCCTGCCAATTAGCAATGAGCGGAGGACACAAGCGTTAAGTGCGGAGGGAGAGGCGTAAAGCAGGGACTGGGAGAGCTGGGCACGGGGTTGAGGGAGCAGCTCTCGATGAGCCCCTAATAGGAGTGTGGATGATGGGATCTGTAACCCTAAAGCAACCCCCCCCCCCGGGGATGATCTGTGATTTCAACTCCTCTTCTCGTGCTTGAGCCCTAGAGGTCTAAGACATCGTTCCCACGCCCTGCGAGGTATTTGGCAACCACAGGGCAGCCGGCCAACTTTCCACAAAAGGTGTGTCCCAGAAAACATGTGCTCTCTGCTGCTTCCTTGTCGCTCAGCACCCGACAGGCACGTGCAGCCGCCCAGCCGGGCCCCGGCCCCCGCTCGCTGCCTGCCCTCCAAGCCCCGGCAGGAGGCACCGAGTCTTCCCAAGCAGCAGGCAGAGAAGCAAAGCGCCGGGCTGGCAAGGGAGCCTCCGGCCCAGAGAGGGGCCCCGTTGGCTGGCTTTCTCTCTCTCTCTCTCTCTCTCTCTCTCTCTCTCTCACACTCACACACACAAAACCTCTTTTTCCTACTGGGGTGGGGTGGGGGGGACCCTCCGTCTCGTTTTCCAAACAGGCCTCTCTCCCCTCTGAAGAGAGACCGGGCCAACCTTCACCAGAAGAGGGCCGAGAGGGGCTCTGGGTTTTTTTGGGAGTGGGGAGCAAAGCTGCTCCTTCTTCCACCAAGGATAAAAAGACCCGGAATGCGAGGCTCTCCTTCCCTCTCGCTTCCTCCCTTCTTTGCACCCAGAGAGGGAGGAGGCCTTTTGCAAAAAGAGCTTCTCGGCAGCAGAGGCAGCGAAGGGGGACTCTGGGATCCTCAGGGCCCAATGGGGCACCTCGGAAGGAGGGGAAAGCTCGCTCCTCCGCTCCTAGCAGCTGCATCCCAAATGGGGCTTCTCGGTGGCAACAGGTGCCTCCCCTCCCTAGCCGTTTTTTCTCGGCCAATTATGTCAGTTATGTGGTGGCCGGAGGAGGAGGAGGAGGAGGCAGACGGGGAGGAGGAGAACCACCTGCTCCCCGATGCCGACTGTTCCCTGAGAGCACGGCCCATAGCCCTGACTGGGGGATGCTGGATCCTGTAGTCCAGATTAAAGCGCTCAGTTCAAGCTGTGACAGGGAGACCATCGTGCGAGGCCTTCGGCGACTCCGTTCAGCAGGGAAAGGAACGACTCTTTTTTTAATTGCAAAAAAAGTAATTTATGCACAGCCCTGCTAGATGGATTCTGGGCTTTCTGGAAATGCCGAAACCCGGCCTCAGGTGGAAAGTTCAGCTTCATAAGCATTGCTCTCACTTCCCAACTGGTTTCTAGCCCTCAAGGGTGCAGAGTTGGGCTCGGAAACACCCCGGCGAGGCCCCATCACGTGAAGGTAGAAGGCGGAACGAGAGAGCCCCGGGCAGGACGTCCTGTGGTCTTTGGCACCTCGGTGGCCCCAGCCAGCCACTCCTTCTGAGGAGCAGGACTGACTCTGCAAAGGAAGCTGGCATGCAGGAGAGCAGCCAGTTTCTAGAAGGGGCCAAACCGTCTTTTCCTGCAGAGTTTAGGCAGCCGAGTCTGTCCCGCTGGTTTACTTCATTGCTGGGACGTTTGGTAGTTCCTGGGAAACCACCAGACGGGAAGGTCTCAGGGCCAGTGGTTGTTTCAGGGTGCCCAGCAAGGCCAGGCTGGACCCCCGACACCCCCCACACACACACACCAATCTCCCAAGAAGCTGGATCTGGTGTCAGAGGATGGAGGCCTCCCACCCGTACTAAGACCCACATCTTCTCAAATCCGTCGGGTTTTCAGAGGGAAGCCTCCAGCAGGGAGTTACTGCTCTCCCCAGAGTAACTTTTTCATGCTCTGGTTGTGAAGCTGCCTTTGGGGCCTCCCAGCCTGTGTTTCTGGTGGGATCTGACCTCCCTCCCCTCCCCTCCCTTCCCTCCACAGCGGCCTTCCCAGTCCCCCCCCCAACCTCTCCCCCAGTACCTGGGATGCACTGGAGAGCACCGTGCTTTCTGTTCTTCCTGCCGCTCATGGCGGGGGACTTCGGACTCTTGGGCTGGAAGGAGAGAGAGAGAGAGAGAGGCTGAGAGGGTGGTTGGTGTCGCTGGAAGCAAAGTCTGGAATAGGTAGAGGCAGACTTTGCCCTGATGGGGAGGCCACCTCCCGAGAGCCTTGCAGAACGCCCGAGAGAAGGCAAAAGAGGAGCATCTCCAGCAGAGAAACACACCTTGGTTTGGCATCTCCGGGACTTTCTGGGCAGTTCTTTTGCTCACTGGAGACCCAAACACAGGCCTCAAGCATCTCCCGCCCTTTTAGATTGGAGAGATCCAGGACTAATAGTTCCAAATCCAGTGGGTTCCTGCACTCTCCCAACCTTTTTTTTAAAAAAAATAAAAATCCAAAGGACAAGCAAGCATTTCTGTTCCCCTTGGTGTTATTTGTCTCGAGACTTCCTTCATTCAACAGAAGCACCCCTAAATTTGCACAGAATTCCACCTGAGGTGCTGTGCTCGGCTCCTAAACAGAGAGACGGTGTGTTGGTCTGGGGACCCCGTTTAGTGTTGACATTCCTTGGCCTCCTCGGAAAAGCTCTCCTGGTCTCTCACGACAGACACGGAGAAGAAGGCAGCCCTTTTGACTCTCCTGCCCGAGCCAAAAAAATATGCTCAAATCAACCTTCAGATGATTCAAATAATCCTACGACTGATTTGGCTGCCCCGATGCATATTTCTGGCACATGCTTTTAGTTCCAGTTGTAAAACAGAGTTGGAAAATGTCAAGAACGCAGAGAGAGAGAAAGTATGCGGGGAGCGGGGTAGAAATCAGATTTTTCTTGGAAACGCACCAACATTTCATTTAAGTCAATAAAGCGAGCAAGCATGCATATGCCTGATATAACAGCCGAACAAAAAGCACAGTGTGCTGCTTATATACCGCTCCCACAGCGCTGAAAGAGCTCTCTGGGTGGTTTACAATTTCATTTAACAACGACCACAATGTTAACTGCTTCCGGCCGTTTGTGACATTTGCTCCCTTCTGAAGACTCTGCCCTCCTGCCTGGCTTTCTTTGCCACCCGTTCTGTGAAGAAGCCCTGTTGCTCGACTGAAATCTGCTGTCAGGCCAGTCGGTCGAAGACAAAGCTCTGGAATAAAACTCTCTCGGCCAAGGCAGGGTTTCCTAGCTACCAACTTGAAAGCCAAGCTTTTGAAAAAGTTTGTGAATCATGGATGGGAAAGTTGCCCTGGAGAAACGCTCCACAGCCCGAGTACATGATGTACGACTGAAAAACACCCACTTCTAAAATTATCCCTGCTTTTCCACCAAAAAAAAAGGGGGGGGGAGGAGAATGTTTGGAAGTGGACGTCAAAGTTTTGACACTGGGGTGGGGAAACCCCTTTTAAAACCAGGCGCAGAGGCAGACATAAACAAACACAAAAATCAAGAGAGTGTGCATGTATTAACTTCAAGGAAGAAATTCATTTGGAAAAAAAGAAAAGAAAAAAGCAAGCAGTTTAATGTCTGCTGTTCAGCTCAATGAACATGGAATGCACACAATTTCTAAGCACAGAAGGAGCAGAGTGAAGTTGCCGAAGAAGACGACCCACCGTTCTGGTTTCCCTGGCCGGTTCACCCACCCTGAGTTTGAAAGTTTGCCACGAACCACTGGCAAACTCTGCACAAGCACAGAAATTTTATGTTGCTGGCACTCGGGCGCCAAGGAGAGAGACCCCCCCCAGTGGGTTGTGCTTGAGATGGGGGGGGGGGTTGGGGGGGCAGAGGAAGGAGATAAACTCCAGCCTGGGTTCTTTGGCCAGGGGCAGAGGGGGG